AGTATGTCATTTCTCTTTAAAGAGAAATAGAAAAGTCAAGTACCTTTGCCCAGCATCACAAAACCAGGTCTGGAAGCTGAGACAGTGGGACTTTAAGGACTTTAGCCTTTTGTTTAAGGGTGGTGCAAAAAAATGCAGTTAAAAAAAAAAAAAGAAAGGAAATATGCATCATCAAAATGACAATTCATAAGTGAATCTGAAAGCATTTCCTTTCTCATGAGTAACCACGGTTACGATAGCTTGGAGAGGGACTTATCCAGAAACATCTCCAGGCCCAGAGGAAACATGGACAGATTCGTGAGAGATGCCTAACCACATTTCTGTTATCTGCGGGCCTCCAGCTCCACTGATAGAGTCAGAGCTAGCCCGGCCTTCACTAATGCCTACCTGAGTCCCTCTCCCCGCTGTGTGGACATGCTTCTGTTTACTTACCTGCTAGTCAGGGAGGACTTAGATTCCTCAAGCTCCTTTTTTGATTTCTGGCTGTAACTGGGACTTGAGCTCAAAGCCTTGTGTTCAGAGGACAGGTGCTCTTCCACTTGAGCCACGCCCCCAGCCTTTTCTCTGCGTATTTTTTCAGTCTTGTGTTCTTTCATCCAAGGAGAAACCACGATGCTCCTTCCTAGGCTTCCGGAGTGGTTGGGATTACAGGTGTGAGCCACCTCACCTGACCCAGATTATTCTGCAGGAGAAAGTTTAAAATTACTAACCCGGCCGAAGGCAAACTACGACGTGAAGCAGTCTGGGAAGATCAGAGTGATCCTAGGGAAATGGTGGTCATGACCCCTCAGGAATTCCCTGACTGGGCTTTGCTTGTAGACCAGGATTCTCCCATTGTTGGGGGACACCACCACCAGCTCCCCCTCCCCAACACACACAGAGAATGTGAGCTCACCCTGCTCATTTGATTTGGGGGGGGTGGACATGTTGGCTGCCAGGGCTGGTTGGTGTGGGAAAGAATTGAACTTGAACCCTAGGTGATGTGACCTCGGAGGAAAGATGGCGAGCCAGCGGCGCAGTCAGTGGAAGGGAGTTGGTGGTTCGGGGATTAATTTCTTTTACTGCAGTTGGGTTGAGGTGTTGTTTATTTGGGAGATGGCAGGTGTTTTAAGGCTGTTCTTCAATGGGGGATGGGAGGAAGATGAATGGAGTTCAGAAGTGACTGTAAGGTGTGCAAGGAAGGGAGTTCACACGCGTGTGTGTGAGTGTGTGTGTGTGTGAGTGTGTGTGTGTGTGTGTGCTGTTGGGAAATAATTGGCATGCCGTTCAGAGCGGGAATCTGCTGCATTTACTGTAATCACTGTATTTATGGGCATCGAATTGACACCTTCCTCTCCTAGCTCGCCCAAGGGTGCCTCTCCCTGATCCTTCTTATCTGTAGAGCTGTGTCTCATTCTTTGTTTCATTTGGGGTTTGGCTGTTTGTGACCCTCCTGCTGAGACTATAGGCATGTGCCACCCAGCCCAGCTCTAACCTCGCTATTGTTATTTTTTTTAATGACGTGTTCATTGTATAAATAGACTTACCTGATGCTCCCAGGCAGGATTTTGGATTTGTGCTGGTGAAATCCTACTATGACGTCTGCTGTGTTTACAAACTTTCCTTGGCTCTTCTGGTTTCTGTGAGAAAGCTAAAACATAAGAACGTGTTCTTCTACCCCAGCCAAATGATCGGCAATTTGTGGGGGACTTACAGGATGGAATACAGTTAAGAATAATGGTTGCAGTCCAGATCCATGCTGCCCAATAGCTTTATGAGAGCCGAGGTATCATGTTTCACTCAGTAAGCCGTCATATCAAAAAGAAGAAAAAGCAGGGCTGAGCACAGTCGCTTCTGCCTGTAATCCCTGCCTTGACCTTGCATAGAGCTGGGATTGCAGGCATGTACCCCCATGTCCGGCCCTCAGCCTCTGCTCTGCTTCATACCTTTCAGCTGGTCTGTGGGACACAGGCATCTTCCGGAGGCCCTGAGCATTCTAAGTAAGGAAGGGGGGAACGCAAGAGCAAATTCTTGCCCAAGCAGAGAAAGGCGTGATGAGCCCCGCTCCCTCCCCCAGGGACTCGGGGTAGTTTCTCCCTCTACAAACCTGCCGTGGTCAGGGCCGCCACACACAGCAGAGCGCTGACAGGGTGCGAGGGCGGTGCGTGAACACACGGAGAGCCGTGCCAGATGGAGGTGGCAGCCTGGGCCGGGCCCAGGAAATCAGCGTTTCTCCCTCGCCCGGCACAGGGGCTGGAGGACTTACATAATGGGGCTGCGTGGAGATGCTGGAGGACACCCAGGGGGTGGCACCTCCCTTCTGGGGGTGGGGGGGGCCTGGGAGGGGAGGAGGGCGGCCTCTGCACCTACCTCCTGCTCTCATAGGAAGCCAATCAGCTGCCCCAGCCCGGGGGGCGGGGCGGGGCGGGGGGGGGGGGGCAGACTTGGTGAAAGACAGAAACCACAGTGTGGGTTTATTTGTTGGTGTGGGCGCAAAGGGGGTTCCTCGTGAGCTACAGCGTGGCTGGCTGTGGAGGCCACGGGCTGCTGGGACCCCAGAATAGGGTAAGGAAATGGCTCCACCCCATACAGCATCCAGCTCAGCTCTGATCAGCCAGCCCCACCGCAGGTTCCCCTCCTCCGCCCCCCCCCCCCCCCCCCCCCCCGTGCCCACCCTGGGAACCTAGCACGTCACCTCTCCCACAGGGCCGGCTCTGGCCCTGCCCGGAGAACCGATGCCTCCGAAATATATCTATCTTCTCTCAGCAACCAGTGTCCTTGAGGGACCTGCTCTGCTATCAGCTAACCCTGAAGCAACCAAGTCCACCGCTTTCCTAAGCAGTAGTGAGATTTGAACTCAGGGCTTTGGTATTGGCCAGGCAGGGGTTCTACCATTCAAGCTGTATCCCCTGGCCCTTTTTTTTGGGGGGGGGGGCTCCAGTTATTTTTGAAATAAAGTTTTCCTTTTTGTCCAGCCACTCTAAGCCACGATCTTCCTATTTATGCTTCCTGCTGTAGAAGGCATGACAAGTATACACAGCAATACCTGTTGGGTTTTGTTGGGTTGTTTTCTGTTAAGATGAGGTCTCAGGAACAATGTTGCCTAGGATAACCTAGAACTATGATCCTACTCAGCTCAGCCTCTCCGGTAGCTGAGATGACAGGTACACACCTGGCCCCCGGCCATGGGTTCAGAAGAGGGCCTCAAGTACTTTAATGTCTGGGCTGGCCTCAAACTGTGATCCTCCAAATCTTAGCCTCCTAGGTAGCTAAGAATCTAGACATAAGCCATCAGCACCTGACCAAAGCCCACTCTGGTTTTTTGTTTTTATTTATGTATTTATTTTGTGGTGCTGGATTTTGAACTTGGGGTTTCATGCTTGCTAGGTAGACACTCTACCACTTGATCCATGACCCCAGGCCTTTTGCTTTTGTTTTAGGATCTCATGCTTTTGCCAAGGGCCAACCTTAGAGATCCTCCTACCTCTGTCTTCTGCATAGCTGGGATTATAGGCCTGTGCCACCATGCTTGGCCCCTGATCATTTTTAGATGGTCAGTGGAACGCAGACATCTCCCAGAGTTTTGCCTGGACCCATCTCTTTGGTGTTAAACATTTGGCATGTAGTTCAGGTTTTGGACCTGTCGATCCCGGGGTCTGGAGTAAGAGGCATTGTTGTCCTCCCAGGAGGTTTGCTTTGTGGGGGCCAGAGGGGGCACCAGGATGGAGAATCCAAAGATGATTTGTGCCAGCTGAAGCTTCGAGCTGCGAATGGAAACTGCGAAACCCAGGAGACTGTGACAAGCTGGCGTAGAGACGAGAGTCCTTGTGATTCTGTCATTTGGTCTCGGGGCCTGCTGTCCTCCGCTTCCCCTGGGGGCCTGGAGAGGCTGAGTGATAACTGGGCTGGTGACTCCGGGCGATGGTCGGAAGAGATAAGAAAGGACTTGTGATTCTGTCATTTTGTTTCTGAGGCTGGCTGCCCATGGTTTCCTGGCAAGAGGTACCCCCCTCCTCCCCTCCCCCCCCTTCCCTCCTCCCCCCCACCCCAGCCCCCATGCTTGGGTCTCTTGGGGCCTTGATCCTGGAGACACATGGAGATGCTGCTGGGCTGTTCTCTCGCAAAGGCGGATGCCTCCTTCGGGAAGATGGATCTCATTTCTACACTGGCTTGAAATCTCCCGAGTATGCAGCGTGTATCTGTTCTATGCCGTTTTCTATTCTAGTTTTATTTTGGGGGGAGGAGCGGGGCTTTGAACCCATGGCTTCACACTTGCTGGGCAGACAGGGTATCACTTGAGCCACATCCCTTTTTGCTTTTTTTGGTTTTTTTCAAATAGGGTCATGCACTTTAGCCTGGAGCCAGTCTTGGAGCGCGATCCTCCTATTCACACTTTCCCACAGAGTTGGAGTACAGACCTGCGTCACAATACCCGGCTTGTTGTTGCTGTAGTTGTTGTTTTGAGGGGGAGGGAATAGAGTCCCCCTGCTCGCCCCAGGCACCTCAAACTGCCTTACTTTATCACTGCCTCCCTCTGTCCTAATTGTGACAGGAATATGAAGCGCTCCGTTTGGGTCTTTTTTATTTATTTTTCCTTCTGTTCTCACCTCCTCCCCTGTGTCCTTCTCTTCAGCTCCAGAAGCCGTGGCTCTCATATGCATCCAAACAGCCGTGACCAAGCTGCCCAGAGACTAATCCACGTCTACCATGCGTCACTTCTAGACGCGCCCATCCCACGTTGATCCTCCCCCGTCTGCCTGACCTGTTGCTTAGGGACAGGTCCCCAGACTTCTCCTGACAGCTGCCTGGCGGCCATCGCTTCCTTTGAGCACTGGCGAGGAGGGAGATGCGTGTCCTCATGCCACCGATGACGCCTTGTCCACGTCACGGGCGGAGAGCATAGAGCCCAGGCAGCCTGTGTGGGCCAGCTCTCGTGTCCACTGAGCCAGAGCCCCGCTGTCCCTGCGGAAGCCACCTGGTCTGGACAGGCTGTGGGGCGTGTACCCCGCACCCTCGGGCACGGACACCATGGAAGAGCCGGTGTTCGGCGTCCAGCAGATCCAGCCCAACGTCATCTCGGTGCGCCTCTTCAAGCGCAAAGTGGGGGGCCTGGGGTTCCTGGTGAAGGAGCGCGTCAGCAAGCCCCCCGTCATCATCTCCGATCTCATCCGTGGAGGAGCCGCGGAGCAGAGTGGCTTGATCCAGGCCGGGGATATCATCCTGGCCGTCAACGGCCGCCCCTTGGTGGACCTGAGCTACGACAGCGCCCTGGAGGTGCTCAGGGGCATCGCCTCCGAGACCCACGTGGTCCTCATCCTGAGAGGCCCTGAGGGCTTCACCACCCACCTGGAGACCACCTTCACCGGGGATGGGACCCCCAAGACCATCCGCGTGACCCAGCCTCTGGGCCCCTCTGCCAAAGCTGCTGATCCAGCTCCCCAGCCGTCGGGGAGCAGGGAGCAGGGGCCAGCGGCGGCCAGGGCCAGTGGGAGCGGCCCTCAGTGGGCCCAGGACAACGGGCAGGAAGCGGGCCCGTGTGCCCAGGCCAATGGCCTGGCCCCGGACAAGAAAAGCCCTGACACGGGCCTCCTCAGAGACCACGAGGAGAACAGCGAACTGCTCAGAGAGATTGAGCCAGTGTTGAACCTTCTCACCACGGGCGGGAAAGTGGCTAACCGAGGGGGACCCCCCAAGGCAGAGACGAAGGACACAGGAGTGCAGGTGGACAGGTAAGCTGCCCCTGTGTGTACTGTGCACACGCGTGTGCCCACCGCCCAGACACCAGCCTGAGCTGTCTCACACCCCTACCACACCCGTCCCTGCCGCCCGCCCAGTCCCCTGAACTCAGCATCCACACCGCAAGAGACGAGAGGGACAGCCGCTGGCCCCAAGCTGTGGCAGGAAAGCCCAAAGCTAAGGGATGGCCATAGCCAGTGGGGGAGGGGGGTTAAATAACATGGCTTCCTGCCTTTCTCTATGTGACCCCCGCCCCACCCCGCCCCAGTCAGGACTCCTAGAATGGAAAGATCTGAGCCCTGGCCAGCCTCAGCCTCCACTTCACCCTCCATCCTGCCTCAGCCTCTGCCTCAGCCGCTTTCTCCGCCCCACAGCCAGCTGAAGGCAGAGGAGGCTCCCCGGGCAGGAAAGGGAATCAAGGCACAGACGTAGTCCCAGCTCCCCCAAATCAAGTCATGCCGAGATTACATAGATGCAGGAGCTTACATGTCAGGCTGCAGCTGCTCTTGTCTAGCAGACCAGCACCTTCTGCCTCTGATGACATGCTGGGCCGGGCCGTGTCTTCTGGGTGGGGATCAGTAGTGGGGCTGGGGGGGGGGCTCAAGACAGGGAAGGGGTGCAGTTTCTCTCTGCTCTTTCCTCCCACTCTTAGACACCCCCTCCATGGCCTGAAGGGGCTGGATGTGCCCAGAGGGAGACTCCCCGTTTGGGACCACTGAGAAACCCAGGGAATCCCTCTCCCAAAGAACCCCTCAGTGCCCCAGGAATATTGAAGATCCCTGGGGTGCTTCCTTCCCTGTGCACGTGTTCATTTCACAAGTGCTCAGGGAGGACCTACTGCGTGCTTTACAAGGAGGACCTACTGTGTGCTTTAGGCTCTGAGGGTGGAGCTTCATCTCATCTATGGGAAGTGGGGGGCCCTCTTGGGCTGTGGGGGTCGCTTGCAAGCATAGTAAGAGGGTCACAGTTGGAGGCTGGCCTGGGGTAGAACACAGGACCCTAACCAGAGAAATAAAACATATATCTGTAAGGCATGGAGGTAGGCTACGGTGATAGTACCCCTCTTGCAAGCACTAGGCTATGAGTTCAAACCCCAACATCATAAAAAAAGAGAAAAGAACCTTCCCAGAGTTTGTGTATTTTTTTCATCCATTCCGTGTTCTAACTATAAAACAAAGGAGACACCATGTAGTAACTTGCCCCGGGACATATCAGCTGGAGTCGGGGTGACTCCAGTCTTAGGTTAGATGTCTGCACCCCTACACATAGCATTGAGGCCCACCCGGGACCGTCAGCTACGAAAGACACAAGTGTCTCAATGTGGTCATATACAAGCAGCAGTGTTTCCCTGGCTACACAGCTCCTAGTGAGACAGTGGGTCTATCTTTCCTTGATTTACCCAAGTTTGCGTGTCTGTGTGTGTGTAAAACCACATTTTTAAAGCTGTCTTTCTATGTGAGATGTAGCCGGAGGGTGTCAGCTCAGAGCCAGAATGCAGGTTGTGTGGTTGTGCGACCCTTTCCTCCTGGTCTAGACTTTGGGGGTAAGGGTGGGGTGGGGTGAGCTCTGTGTCCTCGATGCTGGTGGTTGGCCACAAGGAGGCCTTCCAAGCATGGGGCCAACGTCCAGGACACCCCTGCCAGTCTGGGAGTTCTGGGGGGTTGGACTGCTTCACAGCCCCACCTCACCCCTGCTCTTGCTCTCATTGGCCTCCTGCTCCTCATGGCCACCTTGGGCAAAGGGAGCCATTGCGTGGAGGAGAAGCAACATTCACCCAGAAACGGTCCGTCCATCCTCCAGTCCTGGAGGCAGGTGGCAGGCCGGAAGCTGGCAGACCTGGGCTTCTGCTTTGGGAACTGTCACTTTAAAACGCTGTATTGAGGAGAATATCCAGGTTACTCAGCTCACTGCCCTGAGGGAGGCTTTAAGGAGGCCAAGGCCAAAGTCCCCAGTCCAGTCCAGCATCCATCTGTATTAGCAGGTCAGCCCCACCCTACACACACACACACACACACACACACACACACACACACACACACACACACACACACACAGAGCACTCACTCAGTTCCTTCACTGTAATTATTTTGTGTACATGGTCCTGTGGATTGAACTCAGGGCTTTGAACATGGGAGAACAGCACTCCACCACTTAAGCCACACCTGCAGCCCTTTCATTTAGATTTCATTTTTGAGATAGGGTCTATGCTGGGGCTGGCCTCAAATTCTGGATCCTCCTACCTCTGCCTCCTGGGCAGCTGGGATTACAGGTATGTGCCACCATACATGGTTGTGACAAGTTATTTCTAACTCTGTTGCTTTGAGCAGCTCCCTTCTGTTCTCATAGTTCCAGAGGTCTTGAGTCTGAAGTGTGGCTGGCTGGTCTGGGATTCCATCAGGGTATCAGTGAGCAGTTTCTTTCCTAGAATCTCCGTTGCCTGGCCTTCCCTAGCTTCCAGAGCCCCAGTCTTAGCATTCTGTAGTGTGTGGCCTGTTCCTTCCATCCTCACGCTTAGGATTGGCTTCAGTGTCTCTGTCTTGTCTCTCATAGTCAAATTATCCCCTGTCCCTTGTAGGGACACGGAACTGCACCCAGGGCCACTAGGATCATCCAGGTCCACCTGCCACTCAAGATTTCAAACTTCCCACCACATCTGTAAAGTAACCTTGGAGTATTATAACAAAATCCCTAAGGCTGGCTACTTTATAAAGGCGTGCTGTTTCTTTAGCTCACAGTTCTGGAAGCTCAAGGGTAGGCACTGGAATTAGCCCTGCTCTGTTGTGGACATCCAGGTAGATGACACGGCACAGCAGGAAGCCAGAGTGAGGTGAGGTCCTACGTTTCCAACATCTCCATTGTGAGAGGACCAGGTGAGAGCCACCTAAATCCTCTCCAAGGTGAGGCCTTCCATGACCTGGCCCCGCCCCCTAAGGCCCTGAGCGCCTGCCTGGCCCCGCCCCCCTAGGTCCTGAGCTCCTGCCTGGCCCCGCCCACCAAGGCCCTGAGCTTCCTCTGGCCCTGCCCTCCTTAAAGGTCCTGCAACACAAGAACCCTCATGGGACACTACATCTGAGCCATAGGTCCAAGTTCAGGTTTTTGGAGGCCACAGCCCAGCCTCCTCCCTCATCCACCTGGCTCTGTGGCACAGTTGTGAACAGGTCCTGTGTTGACACATGCTCTCCTCGTCCCCATGGCTGAGGCCACACAGGATGGAGTCCCGTGACCAGCCCCCTATTCCTCACCTATTTCAGGAAAGCCCTTCACCTCTCTGGGCCTCAGTTTCTCTTTCTGTAAAAACAACATGTGGATCAGATGAGTCCTGAGAGATTCATGTCAGCTGTGGGCAGGCCCCCAGGAGCTCCCCACTCCATCCAAAGTCTCTGGTCCTTGACACGCCCCCTTCCCCAGCTTAAACCCACTTTAGGTCAAAGATCATGGCCTGGAGGTGAAGCTGCTCCTCCCCCCTCCCCCGCCCCCTCACAGCTCTCCGAGTCTCATGTAGCTGCAAACTTGACAGATCTGTGTGATGTAGAGAAATCAAGAGCTTTCTCATAAAATCTGGCTTCTCACCTCTCAAAAATACATCTATAGTCAACCCCCGGTATCCCTAGGAGAGGGACAGTTTCCAGGACCCCCTTAGATACTAAAATCTGTGGACGCTCCAGGGCCATTAATGAAATGGTGTAGGTTTTTGCCTAGAAGCTACGAACATTCTCCCATCTACTTTCTACCATCTCTCTACTACTAATGATACCTAACGTAATGGAAATGCTTTGTAAATAGTTATTCTGTTGTATTGTTGAGGGGTTAATAGCAAGGGAAAAAAGCTTTACATATTCAGTACAGATATCATTTGTTGGGGTTTTTTTTCTGAAGCTTTTTCAACCCACAGAGAGTTGAATCCGGAGGACCAACTTAACTGTATATTGGAAAACCTATGAATGCACAGGCTACTTCCTAGCAAAGTGCCAGCAGTAGGGGCCAGGAAGGGGCTGGGTGATCTCTCCAGTTCCCCAGCATCCAAACCCAAACCTACCTAACCATTATCTTCACTAGCCTGAGCTCTGATGGCATGTTTTTGAGAACCCTGTCCACTTTGGTGATATTGGTAATGAACTGCCAAGCCAGGCATGGTGGCTTATGATTGTGATCCCAGCTAACTCAGGAAGAAGTAGGACAATTATGATCTGAGACTGTTCCTGGGCAAAACAGTGTGAGCTTCTATCAAAAAATAAAATAAAACTAAAGCAACGAAGGGCCAGGGCCAGGGCTCACAGGGTAGAGTGCTCGCCTAGCTAGCGTGAAACCCTGAGCTCAAAACCCAAATATTAACCAGGTGCCAGTGGCTCACGTTTGTAACCCTAGCTTCTCAGAAGGCTGAGATCTGAGGATCGCAGATCAAAGCCAGCCTGGGCATGAAAGTCTGTGAGGCTCTTTATCTCTAGTTAATCACCAAAATGTCACAAGTGGAGCTGTGGATCAAGTGGTAGGATGCCAGCCTTGAGTAAAAAAAAAAAAAGCTCAAGGACAATGCCCAGGCCCTGAGTTCAAGCCCCAGGACTGGCACACACACAAAGTACTGGCAAAATAAAATAATAGTGAAGAACAGTAACAGTGTCTGAGCTTGAGGGCCCTTAACCCCCTGTTTGGTGCCAATGTTTGCAGAACCCCTGATCCCCAAAACAGACTTTGGGGGGTAAGGAATAAACAAGAATAACAAAGCAGGTAAATATGATCAAAGTATGTTATATGCATCTATAGAAATGTCCTTAATAACCACCCAGTACAATTTAATACATGCAAAAAGAAAGCAGAAAAAAAAGAAGAGTTTTCTACCTATGAAGACCATCTGCTGCTTCTTTTCTCAAGGAGAAAATCTTCACCCCTCATCCCCTCATCCACAGCCCCCAGTCATTCTGCTGTAACTCAGCCCTCCACTTCGAGAACAGGTAGATGCAGAAGCCAAAGGACCATTGGCGGGTGGAGGGCAAGG